ATGCAAACGTCTTTCTAAAGCCTCAAACAGGGTCCCAGCTTTCTAAAGTCTTTTTAGAAGGGTCTTTATACAGGTCTTGTAAGGATCCTATAAGGGCGTTGCAACAGTTCGTAAGTGCTCCTGAGCAAAGGGTTCAGAATTAGGGCTAAGGTACGCTTCAGATTGAGCAGCAAACTTCGTCGCAATTTGCCTTGGTCATGCTTTGAGAGGTGCACGACACGCTACCCTGTGCCCAAATACTTGTCGTTCTGGGCTTATATCATCTGAGCCAAGGCGTGAAGCCCTTCCGGAAAATACGTCTTGCGGCGATCTCTCTTCCGCACTTTCGACCATCTTTGTCATCATGCTCCATCTGCAGCAAGGCTTGGCAGCAGTTTGCTAGAGAGCCCTGTAGGGTGAGTCCAAACTTCTCCACACCGGCACCCAAGCTCCGTGCTCAGACAGTGGGGAGTAGCTTACCCCCATGCATGCTTCGGCAATGTACGACGTTTATCGCGACAGGAGCTGCGAAATAGCAGTACGGAGACGATGCTCAGCACCAACTGATTTCAAATCACCTGGGCTTGCGGCGGGCGATGCAGTTGTACAGGAGGTCGATGTTCGTGATTGTGCTGTTGCGTTGGCGGGCCTCTGCAAGGGCCTGGCTGGGAAACGGGCGAGACGCCAAAGACTGTGACTTCTGAACTGCCTGGCCTCGTCACTGTCGTCATCGATGCTGTTGTAACGGAGGTCGACGGAGGTCGATGTTCGTGATCGGCCCGTTTCTTTGGAGGGCCTCTGTCATTGTCTGGCTGGGATGCAGTCGAGACGCCAAAGGCTGCGACTTCTGAACTACCTGGCCTGCGTGCTGTCATCAGCAGTTGGAGTAGAGGATGATGCTGGTTATCGTACTGTTGGTTAGGACTTGGACGAAGGCCTCGCAGGCAAGAGGACAAGGGTCCGGCTGCACAAACCCCTGCACTAGGCCTTCACACCATCATCACGAATGCTACTTCCGGCAAGGTTGATGCGAGTGATCAAAGTGTGTCCTTGCAGCGCCGTTGCAGAGGCCTGTCGTGTGACAGAAAACTCCAAACACGCCAACCTCCGGACCCAGGCCTTGCCTTGGTCAAGATCTCGGTGATGTGGCTGAGTTGCTCTGTTACCACCTGCCGAAGCAAGTCGCACCAAGGTCTGTGACCCTCACCCTGTGTGTCTTGTGCTCGGAATGGGGTCCCGGTGCTCAGATGTACGATATTTTGCCCGGTGCTAAGATGTTCTGTCTTGGGCTCGAAGTGAGGTCCGGGTGCTAAGATGTACGATTTGTTGCCGGTGTCTTGGGCTCGAAGTGGGGTCCGGGTGCTAAGATGTACGATTTGTTGCCGGTGTCTTGGGCTCGAAGTTGGGTCCCGGTGCTAAGATGTACGATTTGTTGCCGGTGTTTTGAGCTCGAAGCGGGGTCCCGGTGCTAAGATGTATGTTTTGTTGCCGGTGTCTTGGGCTCGAAGTGGGTTCCGGGTGCTAAGATGTACGATTTGTTGCCGGTGTCTTGGGCTCGAAGGGGGGTCGCCGTGCTAAGATGTTCTGTCACTGGCTCGAAGGCGGGTCCCGGTGCTAAGATGTATGTTTTGTTGCCGGTGTCTTCGGCTCGAAGTGGGCTCCCGGTGCGAAGATGTACGATGTGTTGCCGGTGTCTTGGGCTCGAAGTGGGGTCCCGGTGCTAAGATGTTCGCTGTGTTGCACTCGAAGTGGAGTCCCGCTGCTGAGATGTACGATGTGTTGCCGGGGCTTGCGCTGGAAGTGGGGTCCCAGTGCTAACATGTACGATTTGTTGCCGGTCTCTTGGGCTCGAAGTGGGGTCCCAATGCTAAGATGTACGATGTGTTGCAGGTGTCTTGGAATGAAATCGACAGAACCTGTAAGCTTGAAAAAATCCTGTCTCTGGATTGGGACTCCCCATCTCCGTTGCTCCGACCTCAGCCACTGCACCAACCACCACCCTGAATCCCGCTGAATCCGAAAGCCTCGCAGCCCTTCGTTGCGCACTTCTTTTTGGAGTGGCCCTCTACATGGGTGGTTGTCAAAATTAGGGTCCCTTTTCGGGTCCTTATTATAATACGGCACCTATTATTTAGGAGACCGCTTCGATAGGGAGG